CTGTATCTTCAGGTACGAGAAATAACTAATATATATAAATATGGTACGATCAAATATTCTCTGCTTCATTGAAAGTCTCCTAATAAGGATTGGCCAAATAGATAAATAATGGATTAACAAAAGTAATCTTATGGAAAAACTTGACCTACTTAAACTAGTACTCTAGTATGGATTTTTGAGTGGAAGCCATGCGGTTATATTTACTTGTGTTCTAACTGTTCATGCTCAATTTCTGGGTTTTATTGTTGAGAAAAAATAAACTATTATTTTTATCATTGAGAATTTATATTATATTTTATGCGTTGACTCTTTATGTTATTGGGTTATCAATATCCAAGTACTTAGAGACAAGAATAGTGGTTTTATGACCGAAACTCTCGTTATTACGGTGTTATATTCTTATATATAGGGAGATTATTTTTACGATTCACATATAGAACACAATGGAACACCACCAAGACCCACCGTCGACATGTACCAACATACATTCCATAAAAAATATTCCCTCCCATCCCTTCATAGGGAATGAATCTACAACAAGTCAAGCATGCATATTTTGACAGGGCTACCCAACCTAGGACACTTTCTCCCACTGCACGTAGATAAGGTTATATAAACAAAGAAAATTGGAAACATAGGCAAATAAATATTATATAATCTCAAGAACACCTGCTACAGGAAAAAGAAGACATGCACCACCAGATGATATGAGACCCTACCCATGTGGATATATATTTTAACACTACAGTACAAGATCTGATCCAGGTATATGGTGAGAAAGCCATATCATATTTGAAACTCATTGTCGCAGCCAATAGTAAATGAACAAAACAAAGGTCCGTCGACTTGAGGGGTTTTGAAAATTTCATGGCAATGGAGACGTGGGTCCTCTGTGTTTTTCTGCTTCAACCTCTAGTTCTAGACCTGAAGACACACGCACGCGCACACATACACACATACAAGCCATGTTACTATGACAGTGTCAACGTGGGCAGCCATGTGAAAACCTTTGTTTGTATAAATTCATGTGACTCCATGTGGAGAGAGAGAGAGAGAGAGATGTCATCTTTCTGATAGATCAAGTAGTAGTTCGGTCGCAGCAGAAAAGGCATTCCAAAAAATTTGTTGCTAAAGGTTAATTTTCTGTGACAAATTTTTAAATTTTAGTGCGAAAAATTTTGAAATTTTAGGATTAATATTATTTTTAGTATCTAAAGTATACGCTTTTTGTTAGTTTAGTCGTCGTTCTATCAATTTTATTAATTTAGTTTATAAAATATTCAATTCGTGTCATTTTGAATCTCTACACAAACGGACAGTTAAGTTTTAAATAAAATGATCACATGTTGGGATGTGATATCATCTTAAAAATGACATGTGGTCACTTCCGTCAAAAAACTTGGCGAATTATCTAATTAGGGACCAAAATTACACGAATTGAATATTTTAGAGACTGAATTAAAAAAATATATACATTAAGAATCAAATTGATAAAAAATACATATTTTACAAAGCAAAAATACTATTAAACCTAAATTTTATTACTAAAAAAATTATATTTGGTCACCATATATATGGTTTGCTAAATATGGTTGACAAAGTTGTGAAGCCACAAAAAACTTTCGACCCAAAAGGATGGATGTAATTGGGCAACGAAGTCGGATTTTTGTGATGAGTGTTTTCGTCGTAAATAAGGCAATCCTCTTTGTATGGAGAGTAGCACTAGAATGATTCTCTAGGAGTCCGTTTGTTTAGTGGGAGAATGGTAGAAAATAAAAAAAANGTTGAGAAAAAATAAACTATTATTTTTATCATTGAGAATTTATATTATATTTTATGCGTTGACTCTTTATGTTATTGGGTTATCAATATCCAAGTACTTAGAGACAAGAATAGTGGTTTTATGACCGAAACTCTCGTTATTACGGTGTTATATTCTTATATATAGAAAGATTATTTTTACGATTCACATATAGAACACAATGGAACACCACCAAGACCCACCGTCGACATGTACCAACATACATTCCATAAAAAATATTCCCTCCCATCCCTTCATAGGGAATGAATCTACAACAAGTCAAGCATGCATATTTTGACAGGGCTACCCAACCTAGGACACTTTCTCCCACTGCACGTAGATAAGGTTATATAAACAAAGAAAATTGGAAACATAGGCAAATAAATATTATATAATCTCAAGAACACCTGCTACAGGAAAAAGAAGACATGCACCACCAGATGATATGAGACCCTACCCATGTGGATATATATTTTAACACTACAGTACAAGATCTGATCCAGGTATATGGTGAGAAAGCCATATCATATTTGAAACTCATTGTCGCAGCCAATAGTAAATGAACAAAACAAAGGTCCGTCGACTTGAGGGGTTTTGAAAATTTCATGGCAATGGAGACGTGGGTCCTCTGTGTTTTTCTGCTTCAACCTCTAGTTCTAGACCTGAAGACACACGCACGCGCACACATACACACATACAAGCCATGTTACTATGACAGTGTCAACGTGGGCAGCCATGTGAAAACCTTTGTTTGTATAAATTCATGTGACTCCATGTGGAGAGAGAGAGAGAGAGAGATGTCATCTTTCTGATAGATCAAGTAGTAGTTCGGTCGCAGCAGAAAAGGCATTCCAAAAAATTTGTTGCTAAAGGTTAATTTTCTGTGACAAATTTTTAAATTTTAGTGCGAAAAATTTTGAAATTTTAGGATTAATATTATTTTTAGTATCTAAAGTATACGCTTTTTGTTAGTTTAGTCGTCGTTCTATCAATTTTATCAATTTAGTCTATAAAATATTCAATTCGTGTCATTTTGAATCTCTACACAAACGGACAGTTAAGTTTTAGATAAAATGATCACATGTTGGGATGTGATATCATCTTAAAAATGACATGTGGTCACTTCCGTCAAAAAACTTGACGAATTATCTAATTAGGGACCAAAATTACACGAATTGAATATTTTAGAGACTGAATTAAAAAAATATATACATTAAGAATCAAATTGATAAAAAATACATATTTTACAAAGCAAAAATACTATTAAACCTAAATTTTATTACTAAAAAAATTATATTTGGTCACCATATATATGGTTTGCTAAATATGGTTGACAAAGTTGTGAAGCCACAAAAAACTTTCGACCCAAAAGGATGGATGTAATTGGGCAACGAAGTCGGATTTTTGTGATGAGTGTTTTCGTCGTAAATAAGGCAATCCTCTTTGTATGGAGAGTAGCACTAGAATGATTCTCTAGGAGTCCGTTTGTTTAGTGGGAGAATGGTAGAAAATAAAAAAAAAGATAAATATTTTAAAATTTTTATGTGTTTGGTTAGCATGAAAAAAAAAATAACAAAAAAAATAATTTTCTTTCATCCTTGAATTTTCTCACAAATAACCAACTTTTTTTTCTTGTAAAAAACACAAGAAAATACAAAAAGTTTTGATTTATAACTAACTTTCCATTCTACCTTTATTTTCTTAAAATATTTTATTGGTTATTAATTTTAAAAGTTTTTGGTATAAATTTAATTAATCACATAATTTGGCCCAAAGACATTTGTGTTGGTGATTGTCTTAAAATTAGGTTTCGAGCACTTTTTTAAAATTTCTTAACTTTCAATTGTAATTACATTTTTTTTTCTTTTTTAGACTGATTTAATATAATTAAGGGTAATTTAAACAATTATAAAAAAATTCTTTTAACTTTACTTTCTTTCAAACAATAGAATGAAATTGTTTTAAAATTTTTCCATAAATTTTTATTCTAACCAAATACATGCATGAAAATATATTTTCAATCATTTTCTTTTCTTTCACTTCACTTTCTATTATTTTCACTTTTCATCATTTTTATCTTCCTAACCAAACGAACCCTAGGGGTTTGTTTGATTAAGAAGAAAATAATGAGGGAAATTGAAAATGGTAGAGAGTGAAGTAAAAAAAAAAAAATGAAAGCAAATATATTTTCATGTGTGTTTTTGGTTAGCATGAAAAAATTGTGAGAAAGTTTTAAAAAATTTCAATCTATTATTTGAAAGAAAGGAAAGTTACAAGATTTTTTTTTAATTGTCTAAATTACCCTTAAGTATATTAAATCGATCTAAATAAGTAAAAAATATTTATTATAATTAAAATTTTAAAAAAGTGGCTCCTAACCTAATTCTGGGATAAACCCCAACACCAAATTCTTAGAACTAAATTATACGGTTAATCAAATTCATACTGAGATTTTTTTAAATTTATAACCAATAAAATATTTTAAGAAAAATAAGGGTAACATTAGAAGTTAATTAAAGATCACAACTTTCTTGCATTTTGTTGTGTTTTTTACAAGAAAAAAAAAATTGTTAGTTGTGAGAAAATCTAAGTATGGAAGAAAATTATTTTTTCCATTATTTTCTATTTCATGTTAATCAAACACATGAAATTTTTTAAAATTTTCTCCTTCTTACATTTTCTATCATTATCATGTTAAACAAAGGAACCCTAGAGATATTTGGTATTACATTAGACGATGGCTTAGAAAGTTTTTCAACATTTTGTGCTGGTAGAAGGTAATTAACTACAAAGAAGAGAATTATTTCTATGAAAATATAGGGGATGAAAGTATCAATATTTTAATAAATCCAAGTTGACATGACTAATCTTCATGTATGACTTTGAAATTTTCTACATTAATAGCTTTTAAGTAGAGGGTATAACAATAAATTACATTTGTATGTTTTTCTCTTTCTCGCCTCTAACTTTCCACACATCATACAAACAAAGAGAAGNTAGCTTTTAAGTAGAGGGTATAACAATAAATTACATTTGTATGTTTTTCTCTTTCTCTCATTTTCCCTCAAATACCAAATAATGAAAACTTATTCCTCTAACTTTCCACACATCATACAAACAAAGAGAAAAGAAAGAATATAGGATGAAAAAAATCAATCTTTCCTAGTTTTCATCTCTCTTATCAAACAAATCATAAAGCCTACCGATGATTGTTTCTAGAGATGCTCTTGATAAAAGATCCACTTTTTGTCAATTCTCGGAGAGGTTTATCCGTGAACCTAATCAGATTATAAGCAAATCCTCCAGCTATGGTGCCGAAGAGAGGTCCAATTATATAAACCCAGAGCCCCTTGTATCTGTGCATGACAATGGCTGGACCAATGCTCCGGGCAGGGTTCATCGACGCTCCAGACACCGGCCTGCAATGACAATTTCACCATGAGAAAATTAGACACAGAGAAAGTTCAGTGGAATTAGATGACTCATAATTTCAAAGTATTTCTTGTGGCAATACATATGTACATAAAAGGTATTTTACACCATTTTTAATTCCCAAAAAATGGTAACTATACTTATTAATTCCATACGATGATAAGGAAGTGGCCAAATGAGTATATAGAATGCATTTTGGGGTAGGATGGATGACCAAGAAAGATTTTTTTTTCTTTGGGCACCGAACCCGGTAGTGGTTCACTTTGGTTGCAATTTTACTTAATCTAACTATTTAATGTCGGCTATATGAATTTTATGCGCTGTTTGCTTTGCATCTTAAAAAATAATATTCAAAAATTATTTTTGAAAAGAATTTTACAAAACTATTTTTGGTATATTTTATGTCGCAGAACTTATTTGGTTATATGATTGTAAAAACAGTTCTATGAAATAGAAAACAATAAAACTTGTTTGATCAATAACCTAGAAAATTATGAAAGTACAATAGTGGTGGTAGTGGAAGTGTGGTGGACGTGATGATGGTTGTAGTGATAGAAGTGTGGTGGTGTCATGGAAGTGTGATGGTGGTAGACATGGTGGATGTAAAAGAAAAAAATATAAAGCAAATATCAATTGTGTATTACTTTGGTGTATCTTCTTATATACATAAGGAGGTGTGTTTATATTACAACAGAATAAGAAAGTATCATAATCTAACCGATGTGGGACAAAAGATAAACATAGATACATTAACATCCCCACTCAAACTAAAGGGTGAGATCGTAGATGCCAATTGGAGTTTGCAAACGAAATCACAATGATGACAAGGTGGATGAGCCTTCGTGAAGATATCAACCAGTTGATCAGTCGAAGCAACTAAAAAAAGGTGAAGTGTACCCTCCTGTAGGTAATGACGCACAAAATGACAATTGATCTTATGTGTTTTATGCACTAATGAAAAACATTGTTGTGAGCAATTTGAATAGCATTGCGGTTGTCACAATAAAGAGGATAATTAGATTGATGAGGAACATCCATATCCTATAGAAGCTAACGAAGCCAAAGGAGCTCAAAAGTAGTACAGCAAGTACTCGGTACTCAGCCTCAACACTAGATCGAGAGATAATCGACTGTTTCTGACTGCGCCAAGAAATGAGACAATCGCTCAAAAAGAAATAGTAACCAGGGATAAAACAACTTTCCATAGGATCTCCTACCCAATCAATATCAGAATAAACACGTAGCTCAAGAGATGAATGAGTAGAGTAATGAAGACTATGAAACATAGTACCCTTAATATATCGTAGAATACGAAGAACAACAACATAATGAGTAGCACGAGGAGAAGTCAAAAATTGGCTGACAAGATGAACATCATAGGCTATATCAGAGCAAGTAACAGTGAGATACACAAGGTTGCCTACCAATTGGCGAAAAGAGTGGCATCAGGGACATGTGTGTCATCCAAGAGAGTAAGTCAAACATTTTGCTCAAATGGGGTAGGTACAGTTTTTCAATCAGTGAATCCAACATGACTAAAAAGATCAAAGGCATACTTGGCCTGAAAAAAATAATACCCACTGTAGTTAGACAAGATTGCAAGACCAAAGAAGTAGTTGAGAGAACCAAGATCCTTCATCTCAAAATGTGTGTGGAGAATATGTTGAGATTCGAAATACCAGAAACATCATCCCCAATGATAATCATATCTTTAACATAGAGAAGTAGTAGAATAGTGCCACACTCAAACTTACGAACAAAGAGAGCCCAAATCCTAAGGGCTAAAACAAAAACCAAAATTTTCAATGGTAGCACTCAATTTTGCAAACCAGGTTAGGGGCTTGTTTGAGACCATATAGTGCACGACAAATTCTAAAAATTTGATGTGGCGAATGAGGATAGTCAGGAGGAGGTTGCATTTAGACTTCCTTAATAAGGTCACCATTGAGAAATGTATTTTTGACATCCATCAGATATAATTTCCACTGGTAGGTTGTAACAATAGCTAGTAGACTTCGAACTAAAGTGAGATGAGTAATAGGAGCAAAAGTCTCCTCATAATCAATACAATACTCTTGTGTAAAGCCCTTGACCACTAGACGAGCCTTGTAACAATCAATAGAAATCAGAACGAGTCTTGATCTTATAAACTCATTTACAACCAATAGTCTTTTGGTTAGAAGGTTAACCAAATCCCAAGTATATGTTTCAGCTAGTCCATATAGTTCATCTACCATTGCATGCGGCCAATGAGGGTTAGAGCTAGCCTCGCAATAAGAGTAAGGCTCATGCTGAGATAGAATAGTGGAAAAACAATGATAATGATGCAAATGAACAGTAATGTTCCTTACGTGAGTGGAATGACGTTGCTAATGAGTTGGAGAATGAGTATCACCAAGAAGTAGTATAGAAGGTTCAAGATCTGAGGCATGATCACTCTCAATATGAATAAGGGCAGGAGACAGGACAGAAGCCTCCGCATAATCCACAAATGGGAGCTTAGATGAGTCTGAGTGTGTTAGATGGTCCGTAGATAGGATCTCAGGTGAGTCTGGCTATGGGTCCTTAGGACATAGATCCATAAATGGATTAGTAAAGAGAAAAGAAGTAGGGGCAGACGAAAGTTGAAACTAAGACAAGGTGAAGAACATCTTGTGTTCCCAAAAGATGATATGTCAAGAAACACAAAGACGCTTGGAATACGGATCCCAATAACGATAACCCTTATGTTCAATCTCATAACCCAAGAAACAACAAAGTCATGCTCGAGGTTCCAACTTGGTATGCTCATGAGGTTGGAGTAAGAGAAAACATGCACAACCAAAGACTCGAAGAGAGTGGTAATTAGGAGAACTGTCATACAACCACTCATATGAAAATTGATTTCCAATAATAGGAGAGTGAATATGATAAATGGTATAGATGACAATAAGAGCAGCTTCACCCCAAAAACGCTTGGTACACAAAGAAGAGCATGAACAATATCAAGAATATGAGGATGTTTGTGCTCAGCATGTCCATTTGGTTGAGATATGCAAAGACAAGAACATTGAGGAATGGTGTCAAGTTGACTGAGAAAGTTAAGGAAAGTGATGTCTCTATATTCCATGACATTATCAGATCTAAAGACTTTAATGGATCATGAGAATTGAGTTTGGACTATTTTTACAAAATTATAATAAATTTATTGCAATTGAGATCGAGTTTGTAAAAGATAAATCCAAGTGATACGAGAATAGTCATAAATGAAATAACAAAGTACTTTGACCCTGCCATAGTGACAGTTGGAANACATTATCAGATCTAAAGACTTTAATGGATCATGAGAATTGAGTTTGGACTATTTTTGCAAAATTATAATAAATTTATTGCAATTGAGATCGAGTTTGTAAAAGATAAATCCAAGTGCTACGAGAATAGTCATAAATGAAATAACAAAGTACTTTGACCCTCCCATAGTGACAGTTGGAGNGAGTTTGTAAAAGATAAATCCAAGTGATACGAGAATAGTCATAAATGAAATAACAAAGTACTTTGACCCTGCCATAGTGACAGTTGGAATAGGTTCCCATATATTAGAATAAACCAAATCAAAAATGGCATAAGACAAAGAGTTATTGTTATTGAAAGGTAAAGCTAATTTTTTTCATAAGTTTACAAGACAAACAATCAAGTTGTTTACTATGAAAATACACTAACTGACCATTGGAAATTAAATACTGTAGATGACTTGAAGAAACATGACCTGGACGATAACACCAAAGATTGAAAGGACAGTTAGTCGAAGTGGAAACATCAACAATAAAAAGGACTGAGGAAAATAGTTGTTCTGGAAGATGAAGATAGATAAGCTCAGACAAACATCCAACCTATTCCAAGGGTCTGTCCTGTCCGTGGATCTTAGACAATATAACCAGTAGAAGAGAACAAAACAGTGAGTCCAATGTCACAAAGTTGACTCACAGATATGAGATTGAGAATAAGATTAGGAATGTGATAAGTATAGGAAAGTAATACATGGGATATAAAGATATGTCCAACGAGATTAACATGCATATGTCAGCCATCTGTAGTTGAATGGGTGAGACAAAACCAATAGATTGTGTGGAAGAAAACAAAGATTCATTAGGGGTCATATGAATACAACATGCAGAATCAAACAATCAAGATGATTTGTTTGAAGTGGCACACAAAGTAATAGAAGATGGATTAACTGATACAGAAAGAACCTATTAGAGGACAACCGTAAGATCACTAGCACTAAAGGTCGAAGAAAGAGACTTTAGAGGATAAGAATCATTGATAGTAGAAGTAGTAATGTGAGAAACAGGCATAGACTGGTTGTTGGATTGATTTTCAGATCTATACTGCTAGTTAGTGTTAGGTTTGCCACTCTTGGGTGCATTATGGTATAAATTTTGTGGACAGTTACTCAGATAGTGGCTTGGGCTCTTTTTTGTGACAGAACTTGCAAAATTAGGTAGGACAGTTGAGTAGAGTATGACCAGTCTTGTGGCAATATGAGCAATGAGATTGAATCATATCAAATAGTGCCATAGTAGATTCGGACGATCAGTGAATGACTGGAAGGTCATCAGAGGACAACGAATGATGGTTGGAGGCAATCAGAATGTAGCCAGAGGATAATCGAAGGCGATCAAAATATCGCCGGAAGATGGCCAAAAGGTCATCGAGAGATGGCTAGGGGCAGATTGGAATGTCGTTGGAGGATAACCGGAGGGCCAATCAGAATGTTGTTGGAGGGCAAATCGGAACGTCGTCGGAGAACAAATCGGAGCGTCGCCAAAGGATGGCGTGGAGGGTCGTCGTCGGATGGCAGGTGGGTTGCTGGAGGATGGCCAGGAGAGGTTGTTAGAGGGCAACCGGAAGAATGAAGAGCTTCAAGAATTCTAATGTGGAAGATCCCTCGTAGGGCAACCACATAGCATACTATCATTGGCTAGAAGGATTCATGAGCCTAAGCTCTAATACCATGTGAAAGAAGAGAATAAAAAATAAATATCTATTACATACTACTTTAATGTATCTTTTCATATACATAAGGAGGTATATTTATACTACAAGTAGTATAAGAAAGTATCCTGGTCTAACTGATGTGTGACAAAGATAAAAATATATACATTAACAGTGGAAGTGTGGCAGTGGTCATGGTGGAAGTGTGGTGGTGATGGTTAGGGGCGGCCCAACCTAATTTGGAGCCCTAGACAAAAATGTTATATGAGACCCTATAAATATTTATTCAGAAATAATAGTAATATTAAATATTTATTAAAATATGTTTATTTATAAATTATTTGTTTTGCCTTTTGAGATAAAACGTACTTATACAAATTTTAATTTAAATTTTACAAATAAAAATTGTGTTAATCGAAATCAAATAGGGATATGAAATACAATGATGCATATTATTTGTTTGAGATAAAAGAGAAACAAAATTGAAAATTAGTTCGACTAGTAAAATGATTTTTTTTCTATATATATATAAAAATAGGAATTTATACAATTTGAGTAGTTCTAAAATAAATCAAACATCTATTATATAAAACAAAACAGATTTCAATAAGTTCATCTGATGGTTTCAAATAGATTTATTCAACGACCATCAACATCTCTCTCAAAACCATTCAAATTGAATTTCTCCCCCTAAATCCATCATTTTTGACTTACATTGCACCTTGCCTTAATTGTTAGATATCATAGAGAAAAAGTGTTATTTTTAAATAAAAAAGATAGTCGACGCTCTACTTCTACTCACTCTATTTGATAGTCATCTTGTGGATTATAAACAAAATTATTAAAAAATGACCTCAAATTTAATTTCTCCAAATATAGAATTATTATTCGTTCCTATTATATGATAGACAATTGATTTTAATAATAAGATTGCAAAGTGATAATATATATAAATACTGGGTGAGATAAAAAAATAAGTTGTATTTTAAGACTCTAAATTATTTTTGAAAGAGGTTGTAAAAATTTTACAATAATACTAGTTACATCTAATTTGAGAATCAAGTACATTAGATATATAATAAATTTTGTTTAAAGTTAGTACTCACTATTAATTCAATGATTAAAATATAGAGTATTTAAATTATATCCTAAAATTTTAATTATATATCATTGTTTATTTTATTTTGGGTCCCAAATTTTGATTCTAATTTGGGGGTCCTAGGCAATGGCCTAGGTGGCCTAACGGTTAGGCCAACACTGGTGATGGTGGTGTTGGTGGTGTTTTCTAAAATTCTTAAAAAAAAAATTCAAAAACACAAAAAAACTAAAAACTAAAAATAACTTCCTATAAATTTACTCAATTTTTATTCTAAGTTTTTAAAAAATAAAAATAAAAAACAACTGACCAAACAACTTTTCTCTTCGAGACTGTTTATGAAATTAAAAAATAGTTTAATTGTCCAGTATTTTTTGGATAACTTGGATTATGGAAATTAATTACCCCGCAAAAAGAACGTTTATAAGTATTGCCATTCCAATTGCAATTCCAGCCAATTCTCCAATCTGCCAAAAAGTTAGAAAATGAAAATTAAACACACATAACATCAAAGTATATGTTATCAAAGTCGAAAACACATACAGCTGCAAGTGATCGATACAGCATTTTTTAATCTAATAAGGATGATCTTTTTCTTAACACGAAGAGCATAGTGAAACAAAACTGCTCAGGCCATGTTTTGATAGATGAAGAAGACGAGAATAGTTATATACGAGGGAAAGTGAAAATATATACATGTGTGTGTGTGTGTGTGTGTGTGATGGCTACTAACTGATCTGCTGTCTGTGGCAACGCCCGATATGACGAACATGAGGAGGAAGGAAGTGAGGAATTCAATGGCAAGAGACTGAATGTTGGATCCAACTGGAACAGTTCCAAAGAAATCTTCAGTTTTTGTATCGAACAGAAGACACAATGTGGCACTAGCAAGAAGTGATCCAACCAGCTGCGCCACAATGTATAGAGGTACCTGCAAGTACACATCAACTTAAGCTCTATGTAAAGGAAAGAAAAAGATACTTTAATTATAATTTTTTGTGGCACAATTTATTCGTTCTGGGAAAAATATTTTTAGGCAACATAAATTGGTAATTTAATGAAAGAATCCGAAGTGAATTAGTGGAAAGACCCAGAAGTCAAATGTAGAGAGAGTTTAGGATAGGAATAGACCCGATTCATTTCATATCTTGTATAAATATAGGTGGTGTCGTTTGGCCTGCCTCATGGTGTCAATTACCCATAACGTACCCTTCTTATCTCGCTAAAGCTCCAGATTTTGTGAAGGGAAACAAATGAAAAGGAAAAAAAGGGGGCAAATGAAAATTTTATTTCTCTCCTAATTAGATAAAGTTAGAGCCACCTACTTCTCAAATTTGGTTGTAAATCATGAGAATCAAGAATTTTTCTCTGACCTGCCCCAAATATTTTGCTTTCTCCCCTTATTTTCCATGACATCCAAACAAGAGAGAGTGATTTCCTTAATCATTTCCTCTCCTTTGTTAAATCCATTGAACCAAACGGAGTATCTTATACATTTACCAGTTACTTGGTAAAAATGTAACAAACCTTCCTTTCCTATAGTAATGCTTGCTGCTATATATCTTGTTAACATGAACTTCAGACCTATCAGGTCAGAGTAGTTACGATGGAAAGACTTCGAAAGTTAGTATCTCGAGATCCAATACTCAATTCTCACACGAGTACCTTGACTTACCTGATGAACATATTTTCTTCGGAATCTCGTGCATCCATGGTTTGTTTTGTAGTCATTTTTTCAAATAATGTCCGATCAGAAGATTCAAAAAGGTTTTCGGTTACGCAAAAAATAAAATAAACTTTCAGACCTACTAGGGAACTTGCCTGTTTTAAAGGGAAGTGCCGAAAGATGGTGAAAGTGATGGTGACAGCAGGATTGAAATGTGCACCAGATATATGGCCAACAGAGTAGACCAGGACCATCACAGCCAAACCCCATGCTACACATATCCCAGGAAATGTTACCGAATCATATATCTTGTTCACAACAACCGAACCACATCCAATTAATATCAAGAAATATGTCCCAATCACCTCTGCAATTACCTAAGAATCACATATACAAAGAGAGACAAGAGAGAGCTTCAGCAATATTATCTTACTTTGAAACTGTAAAATTACACAACAATAATGTCCCGTACATATGCATTGCGCATGTAGCATAACTAAGGTCCAAAAGTCGCACTTATATACCAACCCTCGCCCACTGTACCAAAGACGTTGGATCGGGTAATCATAATATCAAAACACAAAAAGCTTTGATGTGTGTTGAGTTTGAGGTACCTTTTGAGTTAGAACAACCACCTCAGTTGAAGTGCAGAGGCTTGAATCTTCATTGGCCGTTTTGTAAGAAACTGAGTTAGGGCCCTCTTCAATCACTACGATATCCTTTGTCATTCTCTAGCTACCATGCAAGATGATTTCAACTCATAGAATCTCTCTCTTTCTCACACACACACACACACACATCACACAGAGAGGACAAGGATTGAGGTGGGAAGATGGATGGAGAACTATGCAAAATAGTTGTTTTTGTAAAATTTTTTAGTTTGAGATGATTTGAAGATTGATGGCTTAGCTATTTTGGAGAGTGTTTCATGGAGGTCAAAGTTTAGCGGTTTGCTTGTGACATTTTGGCCATCAACTGGAAAATCTTGAAGTATTTCTTTAAATAGTAGTCAAAGCTACGACCTTTTGGCCATTAGTTAGGAAACTGTTGAGACTCGGATTGAACTTACATTCTCTCTAATATTATTTAACTTCTATTTTGTTACTTGATAGATCACTTATCGATAATTAAAGGAGGAAGAAAATAGAATTGAAGGGGATTTGGTTCCACTTTAATTTAACGAAGACGCAAGACTTTGGATCATTCTTAAAGTGTTTTTAATCATGACTTAAATTTAGATTCAAATTTAAATTTAATTTGAGTAAAAAATTTGATTTAATATAGAGTACTCCAATAAACAAACTCAAATATCTACTCAAATCTTTTAAAAAAATTCTCTTATTGTTCCAAAATTTATTTTTTGTGTCATTCAAATCATGATATTTGATAAAATAAATGCAACTTTTATATCTCTCCACAAATGGGTAATTTAAAAAAAAATAAATATGTATACAACACTACACAAGAATAAAAAAATCACCCAGAATTCTAAAATAGTTCTAATCCTTTTTTTTTTTTTTTTATAAATTCAGAAAAAAAATAACTATTTTGACATAGGTCTGATCTGAAAAACACAAAAACATACGTTTTTAAGAAAAAAAGAAGATTGAAGAAATAAAATGACAAATTTTTTACATTTGTGGCTAATAAAGGTTTAAAATTTCAGGAAAAATATATGGTCTGAAATTGTACTACTGATAGTGCTTAACTAGAAAAAAATCAAAGAAAAATTTGATGGATAGGCTTACGGGTTATATAGTATGACAAATGGGTGAGATTAGAGTTTTAAAAAATACAAAAAATAAAGAAGATGAAAAGGAAAAAAATTTACCTAAAGGCTTTCAAATGATTTGTGTAAATTTCGGTGGTGGTCGACGATGGGAGCAGTGTAGTAGAGAGAGTCGAGAACAGACAGAGAATAATTTGTCGAAGAAGTCTTTTAGTTTTGGATATGTTAAAAAATTTAGTATAAAATTTGAATCTGTTTCAATTTTGATCAAGAATAAATTTTGTCTTGATTTGGTATATGTTTGAGTTTAAGATTAAAGAAGTTTTTGGGTCATTTTGACTCAAATTTAAATTTGGGTTTACATTTAAGTCAAGATTGAAAATGCTCTTATTTATGTCTAATTAGCATTCTGACTTGTGCGATGCAAAAATATATATTTTTTTATTTTTTTAAAATTTATATTATGGATCTCCTTTCTTTTTCACCTTATCACTTAATAAGTTAGATAAATTTAAATGAATAATAATAAATAATTTAATAGTAAAAAATAATTTTATTTGAAAAAAATGTATGGGTTAGTAAGTGGGAAGTTGGAAGTAGTTTTTTTGTGCACAAATCTTGCGACTGTAATATAAGATTGAGTAAAAGTATGTTCAAAATATGTGTATCTGTTATATGTGTTCATAAGCAAATATAGGGGAATTTGGAAGCTGGTATAAAAATTTGGATTGGATTTAATTAAACTAAACTATATTAAGGAAACTTACTTGATCCTAAGTGCAATTTTTGAAAAAAAAATTAAAAGACAATTTATTACTTTGTTACTCTCTATATATATCTCTCTCTCCCCTCTCTCCATTACTCTCTCAATTTGTTTTCCCTATTTTTTTTCTCTCTCTCACATTGATAATTTATTGATTTTTGAAATATGTAAAAATTTGATTTAATTTTTTTATCTCTCTCTCCCTCTATTTTCTTTCACATCTACTCTTTCTCTCCTTATTCTCTCTCTCTCCCTCTCTCTCTCTCTTCTTATATCAACGTTATAACAACATAATTACACCAATTAGTTACAATTACCCTATAATACACTAAACAATTACTCATGTGTTCTAATAAACCAAATAGTTGCACGAAATTACAATATTAACTCAATTTGTCATTTAGTTGTTTATATAAATCAAAAAGTTATATTATTTAATATCACAACATGGTTACACTAATTATATACAACGTTTAGTATTATGACATAATTATACTAATTATATATACCAAATAGGGTTTATCATTACACAAAAAACTTTACCATTATACCAAATTTGGTGTATATAATTGATATAATTATGTCGTAATATTAAATGGTATAATTCTTTGATTTATGTAAACAACTGAATGACAAATTGAGTTGGTGTCATAATTTTGTGTAATTATTTGGTATAACTATTTAGTTTATTAGAACACATAAGTAATTGTTTGGTGTATTATAGGACAATTATAACTGATTGATGTAACTGACTAGTGTAATTGTGTTGTTGTAGTGTTGATATAGAGAGAGAGAGAGAGAGAGAATAAGGAGAGAGAGTAACGGTAAGAGAAAATAAGGGGGGAGAAAAAGAAAATAGGGAAGACAAATGAAAAAATGAAATCAAAATTTTTACTTATTTAAAAAGAAAATAAATTATCAATGAGAGATAGAGAGAAAATAGGGGAGATATAGGGAGAGAGACACAGAAATGTAAAGAATAAAAATTATGTATAATTTAAGGAAGGATAAGTACGTAAAAAATTCAAATGTCATTTGAATTTTGTACTTAATCATAAGATATTTTATTAAAATTGAATTTGATAGAATAAAATAACTACACATACACTTTCTTTCAAGTAAATCTAAATAAATGTACCCCACCCAAAAAAAACCCAAAAATATATAGAAAGTGTTGGATGTGAAATCTAGACACCCTAGTCTTGGGCCATGCTAAATCAAACACATAGAACATTGGAAAGCCCAATCTGACCATCCAGGGCCCAAAAATTAACCTAAGTGTCAATCTTGGCCTCTATTCTACATGTTTTGGATCACGGTAACTTTCACTTGCAAGAAGTGATGGTTTTAGATAAGACTTTGGAACATTGCTACTTTCAGCCCAGACCGTAATCCAAATGGACAAGAGGAATTCTCTTCATGATTTATTGGGAGTTCGGCTAACTATTTCATTTAGAGTAAGTTTTGAACGTTATTAACCAAACTCTCGGCGAGGGTGGCGGCAACGGCTCATCAAGCAGCAGCTCATCAATCTATTTTATGATCAATCATCCATTGGGGGTGCAAGAGAATAGTTTATCACATTATAGTAGTTCAAATAAAAATATCTCGGTGATTAGTATCTTGAGAACCTAAATTCGAATCTCTTAAAAGATATCATGATTTTATGTCAATGCATGTGGTTTTTGTGACCGACTTGAGTAACATTAAAATCAACTCAGGCAAACAATTCTAATTATTTTTTTAATCCCACGGTGATACCAACTAGCCAACCCTATTAAGTTTTTTTTAGCAATTATACTGGAATCCTTATTGCTACAAGACGTATTTTTCTAAGAATTATTGTTGAGTAGTATATACTAATATCTATTGTTTCTTGAAATTCTCAGAGTTTTCTGTTAGTATAACATGAACTTATTTTAGCTGCTAGTACTGAAGAATTTATTTTATTCAATGGGGGATCAAAAATAACTGGGTGACCACTAAACTGTCCTGTCAGAGTGTTGAATCACATGTGCAGGAACTTCTGTGTCGATACACACGAGAGAGAGAGAGAGAGAGGCAGGAGAAAACCACACTGACATCAATTAGGACCCGCATTCAAGCCGTGTCATTAATGTTAGTTCTTTTTCTCGCCACAAATATGGGAGTCACAGTTGGGACCAACTTTCAATTCAATCTCAACCTTTCTTTGATCTCTCATGTGTAATCCACCACATCAGGACTTGCTAAGATGTTTATCATCACTGTACGAATGGAAAGATTGCAATGCTTTCTCATCTGAGTTCTGAAAGTCAAGGCCTGGTAGCAACTGATGTGGCCAACCCAATTGGAAACACAGAGAGAGAGAGAGAGAGAGAGAGAGAGAGCTTGAAAGGGATACTGTTAGAATCAGGAAAAAAAATCATGCCCATTGTTCAAAATTCTAATCTAGATAGTAATATTTAGTAGAGGTAAATGAAAAATACTAGATAGCTCTATTCCTTATTTCTCAGTGACATATTGAATTCTGGACTTGAACTCATGAGATCCAATGGATGAACGCTCGTCATCACTCTAAGTTCGAGATTTAGATAATCTTATAATNATATTTAGTAGAGGTAAATGAAAAATACTAGATAGCTCTATTCCTTATTTCTCAGTGTCTGGACTTGAACTCATGAGATCCAATGGATGAACGCTCGTCATCACTCTAAGTTTGAGATTTGGATAATCTTATAATAGAGTCACATTATTATTTTTTATATGCGTGGCATATATGCACCCATAATAGAACTCTAAAAGAATCATTTATGTACTCTCAGAATAAAGTTAAAATAGTTTTCAAAAAGGAAAGGAAGCTGAGGGCCTCCAATCGATGAATTTGATCCCGCAAATAGATTAACTAAAGACCATAGAAGTCCCACACAGGATATTATGCCATTTCTGATCTTTAACCAAGTTCAAAAAGATTTGAAAAGCTGTTGGATCAATTCAAAAGTAGAAAAAAAAAGAAAGAGGTTTAATCAAGGGGGTCCATAAGAGTTTGAGAAGATGCATATCCCTTAACTTCGATTTAGGAATATGCATTGTCATGGCATGGTTTGTCAAAGGAACCTTTTTTAACCATGTCCATCTTAATGGTCCCTGGCCATTGTTGGCCCACTTCTTCTCAACTCATGTCTGTGGTTCACCCTACACTGACCATGACACCTCTCTCTCTCTCTCTCACATTTATTTTTTCTTGTTTGCATACA